TGGCCTGGGAAAGCAATAGAGGATATCCCAAAGCCCTGGGACCCTGCACCTGCATGAGACCTGGAAGAAACTTGTGGCTCCCAGCTTTGGATGAGCTTGGCTCTGGGTCTCGCGGTTACTTGGGGAGTGAATCAGTAGAAGAAATATCTTTCTCTCTGTAAATCTGCCTTTCCAATAAAAAAAATTTTTTTTAAATAAAATAAAAAAAGGAAGCTTCTGATATGGTAATCTTTGGCCATCATCACAGATTAATTAAAAACCCTCGTTGATAATCAGCACTAGATGCAGAGGTTAAGTCATCAGCTGGGATGCCTGTATCTCACACTGGGGTGCCTGAACTGAGTCTTGGTGATTTCACTTCCAATCCAGCTTCTGCTAATAGCAGTGATGGCTGAAGTACTCTGGTCTCTGGCCAGAGACTCACATTAACTTCTAGGCCTGGCTTCTCTGCCAGCTCCATCCCTGGTTACTGTGGGCATTTGAGACGTAAACTGGGCCTATGGAAGCTTTCTCTCTGTTTATCTCTCTGCTTTTCAAATAAAATGAAAATAAGTAAAATGTTAAAGTCCTAAATAGAATACAACTTTCTAGATCTAGCTTCATCAATATTATCATGAACGTAATGATCTTAATAAGGATTTTAGAAGTATTCATTAAGCACCTACTATCTGCTAAAGCCGTTCTGTAACTATCTCAGTCCTTCTAACGGTCGTTAGCATAACCTCTCTTTCCGAGGTCAAGATGCCAGTGAGCTCTGTGAATCTTGCTTGTTATCTGTGAACTGGCATGCATAAGAAAAAGTTCAGGTGAGGCAATCAGAAAGGGGCACTTTCAGAGTTTCTCCCCAATTTGCTTGACATGTCTTCAGATACATTGGCAAGATGACAGAGAGAATTATAGTTTAAAAGGTTATCCAGCACTAGCAACATTACCTTCCTTGGAACTTACTATCATCAACACATTTCACATGGTAAATTAGGCTAATATGGCTTCTGGGACCCCATCTTGGGAAATCTGAGCACTGATGAATCCAAGCAGCCGCCAGGCAGGGGCACAGGGCGCCCTGGCTTTTATACTTCGATCTTCAGTTTTTCCTGTAGGGCTGGAAGCCATATCCCATTCACAAGCCATTTGCAGCAAAACATGCTTGTGTATAAGATGCAGTAATTTTTGCCATGAGGATGTTCTAAATTGATAAAATTAACCTAGTTATTTTCACTTTATTTTGAAGCATGAAGGTGCTTCAAAAAGCTCATGAAAAATAAATTACAAGGTAAGTTTATTTTGGTGCAGTAAATGTTAAAATCCATACACATGAGAAACAAAACAACAAACAAAACCCTCCAGCCTTTGGTTCCTTCCTCAAATACTAGGCCAAAGCTTGGGGGCCAGGGACTCGATCCAATTTCTCACATGGTGAGAGGAAATCAACTCCTTTAGCCATAATCACTGCCCCTACAAGGGCTGCAAAGCTGAAATCATAAAGTGGAACCAGGAACTGAACTCAAGCACCTGATAAGCTGAACTTGGGCATGCTATCTGGCTGTTTAAACATTAGATCAAATGACCACCCTTACAACTTCTGTAGCAATGGCTTGTCTGGTGTAACTGCATCTCTGAGGCAGGTAAATTCAATAGGGACACTCTACAGACGAGAGTAGGCCCAGAGACAGAAAAAAGTAACCCCAAAGCTACGAGTCATAACTTAGGAAGTAGGTTCAAATCTCTGTCTCTCTCCTGGTTCTTTAACTGTCCAGGCTGACCCAGACATAATTCCATCTATGCATGTGTATGTGTGGAATTCTCAGGTTTCTGAACCCTGCTGATGGTCTGGCAAGGTTCAAAAGCGTTTACAAAGCTCCTCTTGACCAAAATCTTGCCAAATTTTGGATGAGATGATAAGATTGATATGAAGACTTTCTATGGAGGCTTCCAAGAATTCACTTAACATTTCACACCTAACACAGCTGAAAAAATCAAAGTGAAAAGGTTAAAGCATACAGAAGGAACTATGTTACCATAGTCGGTATTTAAAAAGCCGAAAGTCCTGGCTGTGTCTTCCAAAATAGTGGCCAGAGAGACAGGTGGAGGACAAAACAATTGTCATTCCACCTTTTCTGCCTAACTTCCCCACTTGAGCTTGGTCTACAGCAGACAGCGTATCACAGCAGCATTATTCACAATAACTACAAGGTGGGCAACAACCCAAATGTCCGGCAACAGAGAAATAGGCAGACAGAACACATGTGAGCTTACTTCAACGTGCTCATAGATCATGGATTACAAGATGGTTATTTTGCTGCAAAATGTCTTTGTATCCATGCATACAAGTGGTATTCACAAAGTCCACAAAAAACGCATACAATGAAAACCAAACATGGATAGTTAGAAATACTACTCAGCTTTATAAAAGAGTTATATGGCCCAATGCTGTAACAGAGAGGAAGCAAGAAAATAAGCTGCCAAGAGAAACAATTCAGGTACAAATACTGCATGGACCAATACTGAAAGATTCCTCTTACAGGAGGCATCAAGTATAGGCAACTTCATACTTATTGAATGAAAAACAGAAAGAAAATGGAACAGTTTCTGGTTGAGAGGATTCAAAAGTTGGGCAATGAATACTTGTGATGGCTGTACAACCCTATGAATAAACTGCACACTCAAAAATGGCTAAAATCATCAATGTTGCATCATGTACATGTTACCACAAAAATTTTCTTATCAAAATCTGAATCCTATCCTTTCATTTCTCAGTCAGAATTCATCAACTTTATTTTATTCATTTATTACCATAGAGGCCCAAATTTCTTTTTAAGACCTGCTGACTGCAAACAGCATCACTGGTCAATCCATCTATGTTTGCACATACAGATTGCACATAGTCATTCAAGACCCACCTTCCCATTCTGCTGTGACCCCTCCACAAACACCTGTGTGCCCCAAGACCTCCTACTGTGTGACTCCATGGAGCAGGCTCCTGGCAAGACAAATGCAACCAAGCCAACGTTGCTACACTTATAGGCAGCCAAAATCTGATGCAGAGTCTCAGCACAACCCTTAAATTCTTCACTGGGGGAGCACTTATTTAGTACTACGTATATTTTATCTACACAGGAAACGATGTGCAAAACCCAAGAACAAGGTCTACAAACAAGCAGATGACAACCTGCACACAGGTACACTTTGCACTGAACATTGGGTGTCCTTAACATAAATGCACATAACTAGGAACTCAACCTTTATACCTCACAGGACAAAGCATACCTCTTGTGATTTCCACAAAGTGGAGGAGACCTTTTCATTTTTCCTTAAAAGAATCCATTTCTCATGAAGAAAGCCATCTGCAACAAGAGTCTTTTGAAACAGAAGTTGGTGGGGGGAACAGGGTGGTGGTGGTAGAAATTTGTGTTCTGTGTGTTACAGCCATAATTTATCACAATTTATCACCCAGCTCTAAGATGTGCCGATCTTGTGCCACACCATGACCTTTACTCGGCTTGAATTTAAAGCCTTTCACAACCTCATCATCGCTCATGTGGTCTGATAGTTATAAGCTCTCAAAGACCTCAAGAGCATGTGAAGACTCACTCTAGCGATCTTTGCCATTAGCAACACATATGGATATCTAGTGCTTGTAAGAAGTCCACTTGATGTCATTCCCTTGGGCATCCTAAACACCTACATCGTGACCACTTTGACAGTCTCAGAAGCCAACATCTTCAGAAAATATGTTTTGTTCCCAAAGTCCCCAGTTAGCAGAAATACTGTGCTGGATAGAAAACTCTCCTGGAATACATGAGCATCTTAAGCCACCAGGTTGTGTTCCCTGAAGCACAACTCTTCCTCTTACTGAATGGTCTGGAGATGATGAGTGGGTACAGAAAACTGACTGCCTCAGGTGGTCTGTAACGTGAGTTCCAATTTCCTAGGCAGATTCCAGCAGCCTTCCAGAAGGACTGTCTCATGGCCTCTTCTCCATTCATTCCTGATGAGCAACACTCTCTTGCTTAGGAGTGTCTGGATACCTCCCATCATCTTCTGCCCCTTGTGCCTTCCTCCCCAGGCCCAGTTTCAGCCAATGCCATTCTAGGACCTCAGCTAGCAATTTGCAATTCCAATGAAAGCACCTGTTTGTGCAGCAGAAAAGGGGGTTTTCTGAGTTGCTGTCCTGGGGAGACGACAGGCCAGTTACATGTGGGAGGTTTGCAAACCACCAGGGTACGGTTTACTTACAGGGCCCTGTGCATGCAATGTCCAGTCCCAGCAGGCTGTGGTCTCACTCCCGTGTCTCAGTATGGGGTGCCCTATTTTTTATTCCCTGTGTCCCATTACAAGCACCATACTGTTTCATTCTGAGAAAACAGAACTGGGTGGTACAGTTGTGGAGTGGGGTGGAGAGGCTGTGGATACAGATGCCCCCACCCTGCCCACCACAGTGGCAATCTGTGACCCAACTTGGGCAAAGTGAGCCAGATATAACTCATTATCAAATGCTGCCATGAACACTGTTTTTTCCAGTGGAGAATGAAGAAGGAGCTGCAGGAATCACCAAGTAAGACTCTTCAAACTGTTGTGCATCTATGCACAAGGCCAGCTGGAATGTTTGCCAGGGGTGTCCCGATGGTCATCGCCAACCAAATCTGTGACACCCTACCCAGATGTGGACACACACACCCCTCCCACATCACCACCACCATCGCCATTTGGCAAGGATGCTCCAAAGCAGAATGGCCAAAATTCACAGACGAAGGTTCAGACGTGGACTCCAACCGAAATGCAGTCAACTTCTGCGTTCAACAGCCTCATCCCCACCCCCCACCTCCAGTTGTATTTATACTTTGCAAGAAGTTAACACCAAACAGTAGTCACTTGGGCGTGCTCAATTTCTCACAAGCCTTAGTCACTGTGCTCAGCAGAACAATTCACATTATATTCCAAAATCCCATGAAGATTCTGCCACACATGCTAACACTAAAAAAAAAAGGAGCTCCACTTACCTTCTTTATTAAGCCTCATAACCTCCCTGTTTTTTCCACCCTCTTTTCCAGCCTCTTCTAAATCTACATCTGCAGATGAAAAAGCAAAAAAATAAAAATAAGGAGGAAAAAAGAGAGAGGGGGTTTGAAAAGGGGAGGGGGAACCCCCAAGTCAAGGTTGGTGGGAGGGAGGGCGAGAGAGTGTTTATTTGCAAACAAATCGATGAGAAATATCGTCTATGAAAATGTTTCAAAAAAAAAAAAACTGACAATGCAACGTTTCCCTCCCCGCCCCCCCCGCCCCTACCCCAAGTCTAGGTTTCCGGCTACCTGGCCCAGATAGGTAACCCCCTCCCCAATAACGAAAAAGAAAAAAAATAAATAAAAACTATGCAAGCAGCAACAGAGTAAGCCTTTCACGCAGACATCGCGACGGGGCTGCGGAAGCCCACCCGGCAGGCTGCCGCGGGGGGCCGGGCGCAGTCCGAGGGGCCGCCGGCCGTGGGGGCCTCGCTCCGCGCACCGGCGACCCGCGTGTACGTGTGTATGTGTGTGTGCGTTCATTCGGGGTGGGGAGAGGCATGGAGGATATCGGGGGGCCACTCTCTCTCACACACACTTTTTCCCCCCAGTGGCTCTAGGTGAATGGAAAGGTTACAGGATAATAAAAGGAGGAAGAGGAGGCGGTGGGGTTCTTACTGTCGGAGCAGTGTAATTTGGCAGCGTCGATCCAGGAGGACCAGGGTTTGCCCAGAAACGCCTCCGGACTGGGCACTTTGCGATCCAGTGTCGCCATTGCTCTTCCTTCTTGTTGCTTTTTCCCTGTTCCTTCGGCAGCCCCAGCCGAGAGACACGGGATTCGAGAACGCTCCGACGTCATCTTCGGAACGTTCCGACATTGAGTGTTCTGAGCGCCGAGGGAGGGAGGGAGGCAGGCAGGGTGGGAGGGAAGGAGAGGAGGAGCGAGGCGGGGCCGGCGCCCGGGCGTCCGCGCGTCCGCAGCCGGCTGGGCTCGCCGGCGCTCGCGGGGCGGCGGCCGCCAGGGGCAGCAGCGAGGCGCGCGCCGGGGAGGAGCCGTGCGGCCCGGTCAGCGCCGCGTGTGGAGAGGCCGGGCGGCCGGGGGATGCTGCTGTGGTGGCGAGCTCCCGGGTGCGAGCGGCTGGCGCGCCTGTGGAGAGGGCGCTGCGAGCGCCGCCACGCTGGGCCCGGGAGGAAGGGGAGCCTTTCCTGCAGAGTTGGGACCCAAAGACCCAAAGTTGTTGGTTTGGTTTTTTTTTCTTCTTCTTTTTCTTTTTGCATCCCTTTCCTCCTGTCTCCGCCGCTGCTCGCGGCGAGGTGACCCCGCGAGAGTCCCAAGCAACTCCCTACCCCCACAACCCCCGCCCAGCCAAAGAAAGGGACCCTGGTGAGCGTGCCTCCCATGCCCACGCAAATAGTCTGTTTTTCTCGGTGGACCTTGGGCCGTGGAGATCCGGACCTGAGACCAATGCGGGAGAGGAGATGAAATTGCCTCCAAAAAGCAGGTGAGTGTAGGGCGACGCTGCCTTTGCAGGCTGCCGGTCGGTCGTACCAGACTGAGAACTCCGCCTGGACTCCTCGGGATTCCTTCCCACCCTTTAGACTTCAAACTCCACGCGCGCTGAGTGGCTGCGGCTCTCGGAGGAGCACAGCGCAGGCCCGCCAGCGCACGCGTGGGAGGCCTGGGAGCCCTTGGCCAGCGCTGCCTGCAGGAGGACCGGGGTGGCCTGCGTGAGTGCTGGGCAGCTGGAGGCCCGGGACCTTCTGATTCCTGCTGGCTGAGCCACTCTGGCTAGCTAAAGGGACAGCGCTTTTTCTCTGGATACTGTGGACTTTTCATCGGGATCTCCCAACTCCAAGCATAGGATTTCTCCTCTCTGTCTTTTAAAATCCTGTTATTTGCTAGAAAGTATCTAAAATATTGGAACACCATCCCCTCCCTCCTGCCCTTTCACCTGGAAGTAGGTACCTTGTCCCTCGTTCCTCAGCACCCTGGCTTTCTCACCAGCACCACTGCTGCCCTACTTCTGTCCAGCCCCAAGCGTGGTCACTGGAAATTGCCTTGCCTTAACTGAATTCTTTGCCCAGCCTGTGCCATCTGATGCCCTATCCCGCCCCCTCCGCAGTGCCAGCCAATGTTAGGATGGGCAGTGAGAGACAGGGAGTAGGACTTGTCTTGAGTTTTCATGTTCGTGTCACCAGCGCTGCCTTTGCTGTTTTTGGAAGAGTTCCTGTGTAGCTGGGATGCTGCTCGATGGCGAATCCCCATGCTCTGGGTTGGTGATGTTCACAGATATTTATTACTTCCAGGGCTCTTACAGTAGGCTGGATGCTGCATTTGACATTGCATCTATTCCCCCGCCCCAACCTTGGTAGACCAGCTGCCCCAGACACTTGTTGCAGCATCTGGCTGCTGTAATGAGGAGAATGATGTTTCAGTACTGTGCTTGCACACAGCTGGAAACAACAAAAAATGTGTCGTCATGGAGACCACAAGATCTGACTGCCCTGCGTCTTGGGACCCCGAGGTGGGATTCTGGTGCTCAGGTGAATTGAATGCTTGCTGTCTTGCCAGGGAAGGGGAAGTGAGGACGGAAACAGAGGCTTCCAGTTGAGCATTAATGAGCCTGTTGTGCTTGGCTGCTGAGCCTGGTTTAACTGCCATGGTTGAAAGTGGTGCTTTGGGAGGTGGGGTGGGGTGGGGGACGGGGAGCCTGACCAGGCATGCATGAAGTTATGCAAGGCACTGAAGAACAGCCTTCCAACAGTCTGTAGATTGTGTTTGACAGTAGGGAGCCAATTGGAGGTTCTTTCTGCACACTGAAGATGTGGCTTGGACTCCTGTGGCTGTGGTGTTCAAGACATAGGGCCCTTGCTGGAGAAGTAATGCAGTATTCATGATGTGAAGACGGGGAAAGTCTGGGATTTGGGCAGGGCCATGCAGGTGGAGAAGAGGGGCCAGGTGTCAGAGCACTGTGAAGGAAGCATATGTCAGGGAGTATGTTGGGTTGGACTTTGGGGGAGAGCAGGAGAGCTCCGAAGTGCAAGTCATGTCATTAGGTGCCAAAACATTGTCCTTTTCTGGTCTGTGACCTGTTTTGTCTCTATCTAGTGTTTATTCTTTGATTGTATACTCCAGGAAGGCTTCTGGTGACTGCCACCCTCCTTATCTTCATGCCCCATCCCCTCCTCTTTAGGTTGCCTCTCACAAACAGAATATAGCTGAAGTGATGGGTCAGATTGTGAAACACGGGGATTCTGTGTTTTTCTCCCCCTCTTGCAGTTCTCGCAACCAACTGCCAAGTTGTGATCTGCTGTGTGGATAGGCCCACGTGGCGAAGAACTGAGGGAAGCCACCAGAACTGAGACGAGGGACCATCAGCCGGGAACCAAGGCCCTTTGCCCAACAGCTGCTAAGCAGCTGGATTGTGCCAGCACCACAGGCTGGCTGGGAGGCAATGACCTGGAGGCCACCCTGTACCCCTCAGAAAATCAGAGGTGCTGAGCATTAGGAAAACTCAGTCCACCTCAGTTAAAAAGCAACAAGGCAGTGGTTCTGTATTTGAACAGGAGCCTACTTCCGCAGCTGCAGCTCTGGATGAGTGGAAGTTGGTACTTGGGACGCCGCCTAATCGTCGTGCCACCACAGCTGGGCTTTCACTGGGCAGCACAAAGTGTGGGCTGGAATCTGAACGTGATTTAGACTGGACGAAAAGAAGACCTGGGGCACGTGGCCATGTTTAACTCCTAACCAGCATGCACAGACATTGTAGCTGTTAGAATCAGGTAGGGTAATAGCAGAGTTTCCGCTCTAAGCCCTCTACAGTTTCTCCACTAGACAAGGGAGATTTTTGGTACCAACCTGGTGAAGGTGTGACCCACGTGCATGACTTTCTTGGCTGTCAGTCACATTGTATAACTGACAGAGAAGAAGGAAACCACTGTTCAGCACATTGCTAGACTTTGGGTGAAAATGGAGGTCATTTGGAATCAGTGTTGGGGACAGTGTAGAATGCACGTGTAGATGCATGTAGCAACCATGTGTGTATGGCGCCTCTATTGTAGACTTATTTAATTTTATTTTTATATATGTATTGTAGATTCTACGTTCTTCTGGTAGCAAATAATTACAAATACTGTTCATGGCAATAGATCCCGCAAGTTCTTAATAGTAGAGAAGTGTGACCTGCAAAATGGTAGTTTAAAGTATTAGGATAGAGTCTGTGTGATAAAAACCATCATGCAAACACAAAGTCCGACTGTGCCTCATGATCCATGTCTAGGAGGATGACGGGGCATAAATATTTTTGTTGTTTTAGTATGTTTCCTTGACAATGCAAAATACCCATTGAACTTGACTAACACCTGGTTCTGCACAAATGTGCATCTAGTGTGTATCCTGCATTCACTTAGTCTGATTCGTGTCCTGTCCCCCACATTGCTTAAAAGAGAAGGGGCGTATTAGTGCCCTCAGAAGAGGACATTGAGCTCCCACTGGGGTGCAGAGCACTTGGCTTCCTAGCTGGGCCATTGTTGGGAGTTACTTGGAAGCAAAGCATGCCATGAAAATGAGGCATCCCTGCAACTGTTTGATGTTCCTTACCTTAATTGAATCCATCCACCCCGTCTGTCACTCTTCTCTCTAAATTTCTTTTCCTGGAGCCCACTCTTGGAGAATTTGGGAGGAAATGTGTTACATACGCTGTTACCTCTCCGAAAAGTTCTCAGCACCTGCTAAGCAGGTGCACAGACGGCTTGGCCTGCTTTGCCCTGCCCCTCACAGGCTGTCGGATTAGAAACAGGGCGGGATAAGAGACCCTCGGCAGCAAGAGTAGGAAAGAAAAGAGCGTTTTCAGGATTCTTGTTTCTTGGTTACACTAGCGGGCCCTGGCTGAATGCATGGATTCCATAATACAAATGTAACTTGAGAGCCTGTGGAGTTGGGCATAAAAGCTGAGATGGAAGTGTTGCCAGCCTTTAACCACCTCCTCACCCTGTCACACCCCCAGCAGTTGAGCTGTGACTCTTACAGCTTTAAGAACGGCGGCGACATTTTAGGAGACCTGTGGGCCACAGAATGTGTCAGTCCCAGCCTCTCCTGCTGACCCACTTTTTAACCATCCCATTGGCAGGAGAAATGACAGCATCATTTTTAGCATTGCTTTAGGGTTCACTTTTGGCCCTCACCCTAAATAGGAACTTTCTTTTAACATTGATTTGCACATATTGATCAGAACAAAGCCCACCCACCATCAAATCCGGACTCAGTGCAAACGGTGAAGGATCGGCACGAAGTGGAGACTAGAGTGCAGGCTTGAAATGGTAAGCCTGCAACTTACAGTTGTCCGTTTGCCTGGGAGCCAACCTGAATCCCATCCTTACCTCAGCTTCCTTATCTGTTCTGTGGATCCTTCTCTCAAGGTTGTTCTCTCTGCAAATCGAATGTGATTCTGGAACTTAGTCCCCAGCATCTGATGTAGCACCTAGTGGATAGTCCCAAGTGCGCCTGAGTTGCAACGCACTAGACAGCAGTACGGGTTCTAAGCAAACAGGAACTGTGATACTAGGAATTGCACCTGTGGCTGCTTCTAACCCTATCTAGCCCCACCCCTATTTAGGAATGAAAGGCAAGCTCTTCTCTTTCCTGGGCTGGGAGCTCTCTGCCCCAGCATCAATTGCAAGGAAACTTCTGTCTGGGACTGCTGCCCTAAACTTCATCTTGACACTTACATCATGGTAGGGTAAATATCCCTTTGTTCCAGAAAGACCCTGTAAGACCTTTTTGTTATGCAAAGGAACTGCAAAATCCAGTCTGCCTGGGGACAGAGCTGCCTTTGTCTGGTAGTGTCAATAGTTATCTTGGTAGTGAGC